ATCCTTGCCCTCCCCCCTAAACGTATATTGCAGCATCGGTAATAGGCGTACATGCTGCGCTGCGTCAGTGTTGCCGACCTTGTTAGCTAGCTAACTGCCATGGTCGATGCTGGGGCCCCTTTCTCACACTATCGTGAATCGTTGTAACTATTATGTCGTTATAGTGTGACTATTGTTGAATTGTTGTGACTATTGTGTCTAAAAGGTCGTCACCTTTTTCACGACGCTTCATGAAAGTTACAACATTTCAGACTCATGATGTCGTAATTGTTTGCGATGTTTCTGTGAGGCGGGCTCCCGTATACGAAAGTGACTGAGGTTAGCTTTTAACGCTACCTAACAGAGCTCCCACGTACGAACTCAAGCACACACACGCACGCACGCACGCACGCACGCACACATGCGCGCGCACACAGTCACACAGTTAGTGCTAACATTAGGTCAGCTAGTGCTGAGGTACGATTTACTGCCACCAGTGTGAATGTTGATTGCTAAGGACAGTGCCTCCGAAAGCAGACTCCAAATTTTTTGAAGGACGGAATTCCCGGATATTATTTTGTGACTCATCACAGACATTTGTGTCAATCTCAATGACCTCTGTGAATCTCAGTACTCAGTACTGTGCGGGTTATGAGTCCTTGGTGGTGGAATACATGCATTTTTTGTCAGACAAAATCGGAAAAAATCGGGAATGTTAATGTTAATGTTAGCCGCAGCAGCAGCAGTAGTTCCTCTGGCTGTCACAGCCACAAGAAGCGCCAAGTGAATATTACAGTAATTGCGCAGCAGCAGCAGCAGCAGCAGCACTCGCTTAATCTTGCGGACAGTCGTGATCGTTTGAGTTATGACTCCCGTAATCAATACGAATGTAAAATCATTATTCGCATTAATGCGTATGGAACGTATAGTTTAAACGGATTTGCGAAATTTGCCGAGAATCGCCTGCTGCAGAGATGATGCGGTGAGCGACAGTGGTGCCGTCTATGACGCAGTTCTGTAGAGATTCGCGACAGTATTCCTGCCGCATCAGCGCAACACAACGAGAAATTACAACTTTCGACTGGCGCGAGAATCATTTGATGAATATTCATTTGGAAAATTGCGTTGCATTCACGACCAAACGTAAGAAAGCGTCGGCGCTAACGTCATAAGGCGGGTGCGTTTATGTTTGTCCCGTCGCACTCAGTATTAATTAATTTTGCTCTGGTTAAACTAAATGCATTTACTAGCCGGCAGCGTCACCGCGCAAGTGAAGCGTGAAAAATCGAAAGAGTGTTTTATCCCGTTAGGAGGCGAATTTAACCTCTGTGAACAAAATTAGGAAAAAGTATTATTCTGAGTACGAGGGTCAAGCCATATATAGGCTTGTGACGTCACACCGGACGTTTTTGCGCGATGTTAGTTGTTGTTCAGCTGCGGAGTGCAGTGTTGCTAATTTTGTATCTGCTTTACGATCCTGCCGCAAGCATCTCAACATGCGGAGGGGAAAAAATCGATGGGCAATTTAAGAGGAACATATACAATTTTAACAAGGCGCGCACGCGAGAGAAATAGAGAGAGAGAGAGAGAGAGAGAGAGAGCGCGCGCGCGCGAGGAAGAGAATAGAGTGACAGTGATGGTAAGAGAAGGGCTCTTAACTGCAAATTATATGGTATCGAATAGGAGGGCTGTGCCAGTCTGTGCTCTTTAATCTGTATAGGTTCTTACCTCGTCACCCACGATGTCATAGCTTTCTTTTGCCCCCGTAAGTCCCTGTAGTGGCCTCTTGCCCCCGTAACCCCCTGTAGTGGCCTCTTGCTCCCGTAACCCCCTGTAGTGGCCTCTTGCCCCCGTAACCCCCTGTAGTGGCCTCTTGCCCCTCTATGACCTGCGTTCATAACATGGCTTCATGCCAATATAACTAGCGTAGTAACATCTTGTCATCGCAATTCGCAGGCTGGTCTCTTGCCCATCTAATCCAGGCCATGGAATCATCTGGCCTCTGTTACCTGTATCGTGGCTTTCTTTTGCCGATGTAACCACTTGATGGCATCCTTTTGCCCGATGCGAGCCGCATTGTATAGATATCCCACCTGTAACCAGCATCGTCACTTCTTTTTGTACCTGTAACCCACATCTCGTGTTCTTTCCCTGCAACGCGTGTGCGCCATTGTCTCCGTAACCCGTGTGCTTTCTTGCTTAGCTGAAGTGCACCCTGGATGCTTGCCCCCTGTAACCCGTGTGTGGTTTCTATCCCCTGTAGCCCGTATGTGATGACTGGCACCCTGTAACCCGTGTGTGGTTTCTATCCCCTGTAGCCCGTATGTGATGACTGGCACCCTGTAACCCGTGTGTGGTTTCTATCCCCTGTAGCCCCTATGTGATGACTGGCACCCTGTAACCCGTGTGTGGTTTCTATCCCCTGTATACCGTATGTGATGACTGGCACCCTGTAACCCGTGTGTGGTTTCTTACCCCATTCTAACTCGCGTGGTTACCCACGCCTCTATAACCCCGTGTGACCGCGTTCTCTTTTGCTCTTTCTCTGTAACACCATGTAACCTGCAGCGTCTCTTGCTCCCCCCATCTGTAACACCATGTAACCCGTGGCGTCTCTTGCTCCTCCCCCTCTGCTGTAACACCATGTAAGTTGTAACCTGCGGCGTCTCTTGCTCCCCCCCCCCTCAGTAACCTCATGTAACCTGCGGCGTCTCTTGCGCCTCCCCCTCCTCAGTAACCCCGTGTAACCCGCGGCGTCTCTTGCTCCTCCCCCTCCTCAGTAACCCCGTGTAACCCGCGGCGTCTCTTGCGCCTCCCCCTCCCCTCTGTAACCCCATATAACTCGCGGCATCTCTTGCTCCCCCCCCCCTCTCCTCAGTAAAACCCATGT